CCGTCCATGGAATTTTTCTTTTATCATTTTTTTTCGAATCTTTTATAAATTCGTTGAGAGGTGCTTGGAGTTTGGCTGCATTAGGTATACATCTGCGATAATAGTTGATTACACCGAGGAATCTTCGTAAATCTTGAATCGTTTCAGGTTGTTTATAGTTGACAATTGCTTGAACACGCTCTTTAGGTGGCTGATAACCATTTTGGTTGATAGTATAACCCAAATATTGTACTTGCTCTTCGCCAAAAACACATTTGCTGACATTAATGACTAACTTATATTCTCTAAGACGCTGACAAACTTGCTTCAGATGCTCTTGATGCTGCTCATGGGATTCTGACATGATAATTACATCATCTATGTAGGCGAATACAAAGTCAAGTCCTCTAAAAACAGAATCGACAAACCTTTGGAAGGTTTGCGATGCATTGCGTAATCCAAACGGCATAACGACGTATTCGTACAGGCCAAATGGGGTATTGATTGCTGTTTTTGGAACATCTTGCGTTGCCATGGGTATTTGGTGATAGGCTTTTATTAGATCTAATGTTGAAAACACCTTTTTTCCATGTAATCTCTGGAAAAGATCTTGTAGTAGTGGTAGTGGATACCTGTCTGGCGTTGTTTTAGCATTTAATTTTCTGTAATCACCACAAACGCGCCAGCCATCATTTTTTTTTGGTACAAGATGAACTGGACTTGCCCACGAACTTCGTGACGCTCTTATGATGCGTTGTTCGAGCATACATTCGATTTCAAGTCGTAGTGCTTTTAGTTTTTCGCCGGCTAGTTTCCTGGGGCGTTCGAAAACTGGGGATCCAGTCGTTTCGATAAAATGAGCAGCTGGAGACTCGGTTTCCGCGAGTGGTGCTGACGTAGGTTTAGTAATGTCAACAAAATCTTTCAATATATTAGAATAAGTATTCTGTTGATTTATGGTGGAGATGCTATGCACAGAAGTTCGTACAATGTTACATTTTGTTGTGAAATTAGTGGTAACGTCGATAAGACATCGGTTACGCAAGTCAATGAGCAAACCAAAATGTTTCAGAAAGTCTGCTCCGATGATGGGCATTTGTACATCTGCAATTGTAAATGGCCATTTGAAGCATCTGCGTAAGTTGAGATCTAGCTGCAGGATCTTTCTGCCGTAGGTATTTATGACGCTTGCATTTGCAGCATACAATTTCATTGCGCTAAGGTTTTGTTTTGTTTGAAAAAGATCTCTAGGTAATACTGATAATATTGAACCTGAATCTATTAACAATTTTATTCTGCTTTTTTTATCATAAATATACAAACGGATTTCTTTTTTTACTGAATAGCTGTCACTTCCCGTTTGCTCTAAGGACAGCTTGTTTAGTTTCCCTGTTTTTGTGTATATGTGCACCCGTCTTCACATTTATTTGCATTTGTGCCAAAACGTTTATGGTAAAAACATATTTTGTTATTCTGTGCAAATGTTTGGTGGAAAGACTCAGGTCTTGCTCGTGCTCTGTTATTTGGTGTTCGCTCATGACTTCTCATGCTGTTGGTGATTTCTTTTACCGCTTCTTGTAAGGCTTGTACTGCTTTCTCCAGTCTATCTGTGCGTTGATCATCAGGAAATTTACTTGGATGTACTATAATGTCATTAACATTACTAGTGGCCATGACACTTTGTACTGGATTGATTTCGATTAACCGATCAGCCATATTTGCTGCTGCCGTGAGACTGCTTTCTACATTGACCGACAGAACGAACTGAACGTTGGCTGGTAGTCGCTTTAACCAGAGTGAACGTAAGACATCTTCTGTTACTTTGTTATCTGCTAAGTCTTGCATTTTGCGTAACAATTGCGAAGGTTTGCTGTCTTCTAATTCAATGTCGTATAGTAAAGTTTGTAACTGTTGTTCTTGCGGTGGTCTTAGACGACTGATAAGACATTCTTTAAGTGTTTTATACTTGTCGGTATCAGGAGGATTTTTGACTATGTCTGAGACATGTTGCAGTAATTCTGGATCAATGTAAGAAATTACTGTCCAATATTTGCTGTTGTCTCCAGTAATCTTCTTGCGATGGAATGCTGCGTCCACTTGGATGAACCACAAGGCTGGATCTTGTTTCCAAAATGGCGGTAACTTAAACTCCACCGACGTTACTTCTTTTTCGTCAGAATGCTCTTGCGTAGCATGACTTGTAGAAGGCTGCTGCTCGGTGTTCATGTTGAAAGTATTTGCTGTGTCGTTTTTACCACGGGGTCACCAATTATAGCTTTCTTTTTCACTATTTGTATAAATGTAAATATTATGATTGCCAGTGCACTTTCTGCACATATAATATTTAATGCAAATAACACAAGAAGTAAAACACGTGTTTTAATTTCTACTTAAGTCTTTATTCGTTCTTTACCCAAAACTCTTAAAAGTAATAATGATACAAAAGAAAACGAAAAACGTTAAGTTGGTTGCTCTTTCTATTTTGCTATCGCTGTTTTTCTTTTTACAACAGATGGCCATGCGAACGTAAAAAATAGTTGATGTTGTTTACAGCCACAAAAGCTTGTCTGCAAGCACCATCTACCGTTCGTATTCGCTTTATGGAATTTATGTATTTGTTGCAAATTAATGAATTAAACAATAAAAAAAGCGACTATCTATCCTTTTAAAAAACATTAATTAAAAAAAATATTATTACAAGAATCACAATGCACATAAAAGCCTTTAAAGATAATAAAACAAACTTTCAATTACAAAACAAATCATAAAAATCGCCTTATTCTTCGAACAAGGCAATTCAATCATATATGAATATTATTATTACCCTTAAAACAGTCATTTGAAAAAAAAATAAAGATGACAAATGTTAAAAAATATATGACTGAATAATTATTTAATAATATCAACTTAATATTTAATTCATATCATACAAATTTCATCAAAAAATATTGGAATGTTTTTTTTGAGGTTATAATTTTTTGCAATCAAATATCTTACCGTGCAAAACCCCGATTGGGATAACCTATATGTCTATATAAAGACGAAGGAGTTTTCTTTCAATATTTCAAAATTCATAATAATCGTATGCACAGTTTTTTTTATAATGATTTTTAAAAAATTTGCATTTGATCAATAAATAAATTGAGTGATAGCGCCGAATGCGGAGTCCAGCAAATTATATGGGCTTGTCTGCAAGCACCATCTACCGTTCGTATTCGCTTTATGAAATTTATGTATTTGTTGCAAATTAATGAATTAAACAATAAAAAAGCGACTATCTATCCTTTTAAAAAAACATTAATTAAAAAAAAATATTATTACAAGAATCACAATGCACATAAAAGCCTTTAAAGATAATAAAACAAACTTTCAATTACAAAAAAAATCATAAAAATCGAACTATTCTTCGAACAAGGCAATTCAATCATATATGAAAATTATTATTTCTCTTAAAACAATCATTTAAAAAAAAAAATAAAGATGACAAATGTTAAAAAATATATGACTGAACAATTATTTAATAATATCAATTTAGTATTTAATTCATATCAAAAGAATTTCATCAAAAAATATTGGAATATTTTTTTTGAGGTTATAATTTTTTGCAATCAAATATCTTACCGTGCAAAACCCCGATCGGGATAACCTATATGTCTATATAAAGATGAAGGAGTTTTCTTTCAATATTTCAAAATTCATAATAATCGTATGCACAGTTTTTTTTATAATGATTTTTAAAAAATTTGCATTTGATCAATAAATAAATTGAGTCATAGCGCCGAATGCGGAGTCCAGCAAATTATATGGGCTTGTCTGCAAGCACCATCTACCGTTCGTATTCGCTTTATGGAATTTATGTATTTGTTGCAAATTAATTAATTAAACAATAAAAAAAGCGACTATCTATCCTTTTAAAAAACATTAATTAAAAAAAAATATTATTACAAGAATCACAATGCACATAAAAGCCTTTAAAGATAATAAAACAAACTTTCAATTACAAAGTTACTTACCATTGCTTCAACCTTCGCACACACTTAGTATGAAACATAAACGCAAACTGAATGTTGCATTTGCATTTTGCTTATTTCATTTTCGTAAACAAAAATAATTGCTTGAAAATAGTCCAGCATTTTCAAACCCTGAAATTTATCACACATAAAACGAAAACAAACACTAGATGGTGTTGGCTGTTAAACCCTAATTAGTTGCTGTATGACTCAATTTATTTATTGATCAAATGCAAATTTTTTTAAAATCATTATAAAAAAAACTGTGCATACGATTATTATGAATTTTGAAATACTGAAAGAAAACTCCTTCATCTTTATATAGACATATAGGTTATCCCGATCGGGGTTTTGCACGGTAAGATATTTGATTGCAAAAAATTATAACCTCAAAAAAAATATTCCAATATTTTTTGATGAAATTCTTTTGATATGAATTAAATACTAAATTGATATTATTAAATAATTGTTCAGTCATATATTTTTTAACATTTGTCATCTTTATTTTTTTTTTCAAATGACTGTTTTAAGGGTAATAATAATATTCATATATGATTGAATTGCCTTGTTCGAAGAATAAGGCGATTTTTATGATTTTTTTTGTAATTGAAAGTTTGTTTTATTATCTTTAAAGGCTTTTATGTGCATTGTGATTCTTGTAATAATATTTTTTTTAAATTAATGTTTTTTAAACGGATAGATAGTCGCTTTTTTTTATTGTTTAATTCATTAATTTGCAACAAATACATAAATTCCATAAAGCGAATACGAACGGTAGATGGTGCTTGCAGACAAGCTTTCTAAAAATAGTGTTAAGCGCATTTTTTAATATTACTTACAATATATGTATATAATATATCATTTAATAGAATTATGAAAATAAGTTTAAATAAAATTTTTTTATTAAAAATGTATTAAAAAATAAACATGATATATGAAATATATGATATATGAAAATGAATTTTTTTTTAATTAATTAATTAATTAATTTATTGGTTTTTTTTTCCAGCTCTAGGTTTTGTTTTTGGAGGCTGCGTCGCATTTGGAAATCTGCAATTAATAAAAATATATATGTAAATATCATACTTATGTTTAAATAAATAAGCGTATAAATACTTACAATGATTGTTCTTTTTCTTTTCGGAATTCTGAAAAATTAAAAAAAAAATTATTAATTTATTTGAAAATTTTAATAAAAATTGTTTAAATTACATTTTTTTCTTTGTTTTCTTTCTCCCGACGACGGTTTTCCTCCAGCCGACGGCGATTTTCTTCCTGCCGACGGCTATTTTCCTCCTGCCGGCGGCGGTTTTCATCCTGCCGCCGGAGGTTTTCTTCGCGTCGTCGGCGGTTTTCTTCCCGTCGTCGGACACTTTCCTGGTGCCGCTGGTAGTTTCCTGCTGGTCGGCGGTTTCGTTGCTGCTGTTGACGCTGGGGTTGCTGAAGAAAGAGACAAAAAATGTTATTTTAATATTGCATTTAATATAAATCATAATATAATATATATATATTTTAAATTATTTACATACATTTTTACCGTCAACCAGCAGCCCAATCAATACGCCAGTTAATATATCCCGATTCTGAAAGGAAAGCATTAAAAATTTAATATTTATATTTTTAATATTATTATTATAATATTATTATTTTTAATATTATTACTTGTGTAAATTACAAATTTTTAAATATATTTTATTAATTTAATTTCATAATACTTACCATTGCTTCAACCTTCGCACACACTTAGTATGAAACATAAACGCAAACTGAATGTTGCATTTGCATTTTGCTTATTTCATTTTCGTAAACAAAAATAATTGCTTGAAAATAGTCCAGCATTTTCAAACCCTGAAATTTATCACACATAAAACGAAAACAAACACTAGATGGTGTTGGCTGTTAAACCCTAATTAGTTGCTGTATGACTCAATTTATTTATTGATCAAATGCAAATTTTTTTAAAATCATTATAAAAAAA